AGATATGGAACAATAACAGGAGCACACATTTTCAAAATTTTGGAAGAAATCCCATCTAAACCCACAGAAGTATTATCTTTCAATTTCATTAGTTCTTTTCGAACATCATTTTCAGTGACTAAATGAAACGTAAACTTAGCATCATTCTTAACACGAACTTCATCATCATTTATTGAATGTGGAGGATCATGAAAATTAGAGGCTAACTCTGCACCGATAGAAGAAAAAATAGATTAAACTCATTAGCTCTCATATCAGAATAATTTACATGGGCTTCAGTACTATTAGTACGAGATGTTGGCAAAACAGTCTTCAAAACCTTCCAAACCTCAGTAGATCTCCCCATAGCAGAGGACAGTTTATTAACATAATATTGTCTTTTAGTTTTTCTTATTTCAAAAGTTACTTTATTTCTTAACTTACGATAACAATTCATAGCATCGTTATTTTTGCTTTTCCGTACTTTTATTTTGGCTTTATCACGTTCCTTTATCAAATTCATGATTTCAGAAATCATCCATGGAGAAATTTTATTTTTGATTCTTCTGGATTTAGAGGGCATAATAGTATTGACAACTTCCATCACGTAATTCTCCCACAACTGAACTGCTTCATCAATATCTTGAGCTAAGTAAACATTCTCCCTGGGTTGATTATCAAGCTGCTCACAAAAATTTACAATATCAATACCTTTCATTTTTCTATACGTTATACTTATAGTACGAGGAACATGGTGAGTACAAGGTAGTCCCCAAACAACATAATTCAGTGAATGGTCACTTAATCCAATATTGATAACACCAAATAACTTAACTTGATCAATCCTGTTAGTAACCATCAGATCTATTAGGCTAGATGAGGTATCAGTAACACGGGTGCTAGTTGTGACATTTATGTTCTCAAGAGAATAAATATCATGTATATGCATCAATCTCTTAGTTTCACTATGTAAAGGGGTCTTTAAAATATCACAATTAAAATCGCCCATAATGACTGTACTATTGATGATTAAAACTGTCAATAAAAGACAAGAACGATTCATAATGACAAAAAAGCTCAGAGTAACTATTGGGAGGACGATACCAAGTAATAAAGACATAGGGGTGAGAAAATTTATTTCGAACGAGGATTGCTATAGCTTCCAAATTATGTAAAGATTCATGATTTACACTTGGCTATTATATCATTCATGAAGGTAATTAAGCAAATATGAACTTACACGCATGTCATCAAAATGAATACACGCATGTTTAATCAAATAAAATTACACATATAGGCCTACATCATTAAAAAACAATCAAGCTTTTAATGGTGCATGATTTGAGAGTTTGAAACTGAATTAGGCCATCTTTCAGATCGAGGTATAGAGAAGGAAGAAGAATATGCAACAGGGTGGATCTAGCTTTTTGCCAAGGGGGGGGGGGGGGGGGGTTGACCACCCAGTAGGGGATACAGGCTTTTCCAAAAATCGCGCCGTTTTACTGTTTTCCTTTTTTTTCTTTTTCTTTTTTCTTCTTTTCCCCACTTTTTCCCCACTCTTTTTCTCACTTGGCCGCCGGAGGGGGGGGGGGGGGGGGGGGGGTTAAACCACCGAACCCCCTAGATCCGCCCCTGTGCAATGACAACATTCCAAACGTCGCGACAGAAAGGGGGAGGGCAACCCTTCAAAACAATCTTGCACATGCAGGCTCGACTCTCACATCTTTTCTAGTGATAATTATAAGTGCTATAACATTAGTCTTTGCCTACATACATTTAATAGTTAGTCTTTGATTCACTCTTAACCGATGAATACCACGTCCATGGTATTACCTTATTAAGGTTGTATTGCGTTATAATTCTTGCACATCAAAATTATGTTCGATAAAAAAACAAATGATCCATGGAGATAGCAAAAATTTCTAACGGATTTCCGTAGAAGAAAAATGTATTGAAGTCTCATTTCCTCCGATGGTAGACTAGTTGATTTAGTGTAAACATCGCTCTTGCATGCACTGTATATATTCTTCGCCCCGATAATCATGAACCTTTATTCGCATGCGGGGAATACTATTATGACTTGAGCAGTTGAGGGTAGCGACCTTGTGCATTTTACAGTAACTGGCTGGTTTCTGCATTCAGTTTATTCATTTACTACTGCGAATGATACATGCCAACATTTGACATTGGCGTTGACGGTGAGTGTTTTGTCTTGCGTGTATTCAAGCAAATACGTTCAGGAGAATGATAAACAAAAGAGTTACTAGTTTAGTCTTTACTTCTAAGTTTGATTATGGTATAACGTGTACACGTACGATATGCCAGCCAAGTACCGTAGGCCTATTGTACTGGTTATACTGTACTAGCTGGGGGCTTCGTGGTGGTAAAAAGTAAGACTTCTCTAATTCTATACCTAATGTTTGTTTGATTTTTCAATTTTTGATTATGTTGTAAACATTTGCTGTAAAGAAATTTTCTTTTCTGGTGCTTTATCGTTCTCTCAGTCTCATGCTTGAGTGAGTTCATTTGTTTTGTGTTTGTTTCTTTGACTTTGAATTTTGTTCAGGAATTAGGGGGTGGGGGGGGGGGGGGTATGGATCCATCCATTGATCATGGTATGGTATGGTATGGTATTTATTCCATTCTTCGTTCTCTCATGCTTGAGTGAGTTCATTTATTTTGTGTTTGTTTCTTTGACTTTGAATTTTGTTCAGGAATTAGGGGGGGGGGGGAGCTCCCCAGGGGCAGTATTTGCACATTTTCTTCTTCTTGATAACTCATGGATCGATTCCAGGGTTGGCCTGTAAATAGTGGGGCGGGAAAGACCATCCAGGAAATTTCTACCGAAACAGGATTATATTAAGTTCCAAAAAACATTATTTTTAACAATCAAAAACTTCAAAATGTTTAGATTATTGAGCAAGATAAATTATTTAAGCTGGCGAGTAGGTGGAGTGGGGGGGGGGGGGAGGCACGCTTTAGTTTTTTGTTTAAAAAAGGTGAAATTTACTTAACCATTTTAATTTCTGACCTTTTTTTTTGGGGGGGGGGCAGGCCCATTGGGCCCACATTGTGGATCCGCACCTGCTGTTGGGAGATTGACAGCTAGTGGGTAGCCAACTGGAGATGGTGGAGCAGCATATCTTGAATTGGATCTTTAAGATATAAATAAAATATCCAAACAAAACAAAATTTAACATGATAGAATTCAGTCAGATTGCTATGTTTGCTATTTCACATTATTCAAGTTCAGTGGTACATGTACAGGTATTTCCCTGGAAATTGCCAACCCTCCTGGGCTCTAACCAAAATTTGTAGGAATCACCTGCAGAAAAGGGTGGATATGCCCCCAAGCAGACTTGGGGGCAGCATCCCTCAAAGTCCCCCTATGGCAATAATTATACATTTGTGAACATTATATAAAAAAGAATCATGTTGATATCGGAAACATTCCTCAGGAAGAGGGATATAAAATGGTTTTAAAGTGCTATTGACACCTCCAGGGGGAGGGGGCTTGTGAAATGTACCCCCACCAAAAAAAAAAGAAGCCTTCTGGTTTACATTTTAATTTCTTCCCCCCAAAAAACGTATGGCCATATTTTAACCAAACTTAATAGGAATCATCCTTAGGCAAGGCAGATTTTAGTTAGGACTTCAACTGGGGTACGTACCTCTAAGGTAGTCTGCAAGCACAAACCCTGGTCAGTCGTAAAAGTGAGTCTGCACTATAAGACTACCATAGGCCACTGACACAACCAGTAGGTAGCTGGGCTAGACTTCTCTCAAGGCACAATGATTTGTTGATAAAGTGTCAAATTAGGGTCTGTGCCTGCAGACTACCTCTAAGGGGGCTTGGGGTAGCCTTGAATATATATGCACCATGCAGACAGGAATGCGATCACAACAAAGTTTAAAATATGTGCAGGCGCGAATCTTGAAAACTGTCAAATAAATTGTAGAAATTTTTCCATTTGAATCAAGAATATCTCTTCAAAATGCCGGGTTACCCTCATTTTTTATTTCATAAAATTCATATTTTGATAGATCAAGAAGTGTAGATATGATGATTTCATACCAAATGTTGGTATGGATTCTGGCTAAACATTGTAGGAATCATTTTTATATGAAGAAGACTTAACTTTATACATGCCCCTGCTGGGTACTTGGGAGCAGCACCCTCAGATTGCCCTACTGTTTCAATAAATGCTATGTTCCTGGTGCAAAAATGGGATGGGAGTTAGGTCCCTTATTGTGGGGCCCTACTGGGAGTTGCACCCCTCCCCCATCCCCCCACTCCTCTCCACTCCACTTTCCTAAAGTCGTTTGCATGTATTATGAAATTTCTATGTATTATCTGATTGTTATACTCATTGTATGTTTTCCGATTGGTCAAATAAATAATAATAATAATAATAATGGCCAGATTTTCACCAAACTTGGTAGGAATCATCCTCGGGCAAGGGAGATCTAAAATTGTTCAAATCGGGTACGAAAACTACGTACTTCCCAAAGTTCCTCATTGGCAGTAATTCCACATTTACTGCTTCTTCTTGAAAACCCATGGCTGGATTCTAACCAAAATTAGTTTGAATCACTTACAGGAAAGGGAGATCTAAAGTTGTTAAAATGGGGTATATTACCTCCAGGGGGCTTGGGGCAGCCTTCAATATTCTTCATCCGAACAGCGCTGTGAGCATGGCAAAATTAACTACTACTACTGCTTCTACTACAACTTCTATAAACTAGTTACTAAGTACTACTCTTAACCACTTCTCATACTACTACTTCTACCATATATTTTCCCAGTATGTACTTGAGCAAAAATAAAACTTACCAGATAATTTTGAAAATGAAACAATGTGGGCAATTCAGATTGACTACTGTTTTTTTCTTGTTATTTAATTGCGCTTTCACTTGACCATTGTCCATAAATGTGTTACTGTATAAGTGTGGACATTACCAATACTATGTTTCATTACTTAATGTAGGTTCACCTACCATTATTTTCTTCCAGATCGTGGCTTGTTCTTCTGACTGACTCAATTGATTTGCCAAGATGCCTGTAGCACTAAGTGAGTGGAGGGTCCGAATCGGAACATTCGTTCATTGGATTAGGGAGTATGAGGTTCAGGAGAGGAGAGAAAGATTGCTTAAAGAAAGGATTCGTAGACTGAAGGTTCTTTGTGAGAGACTTAAAGCGAAAAGGGATGATTCTGGAGAGGGGTTGCAAAATGACAAAAGCAGACAAAATGGTCCTAATCCCAAGGGATGTCCTCATCAAATTGCGAACATCCAGTCGTCAGGAAACTCATCAGACATCAAGGATTTACTAACTTCATGTGATCAGTGCATACAAGATTTATTAACAGCAAGTGATTCTCATATCAAGGAGATACTCACCCCTTCTGAAACATGTATTAAACATTTGCTGACACCAACTGATTCAAACATTAGACATCTGCTCTCTCTAACAAATTCTTGTAGGAAGGACCAACATACAGCATCTGACTCTCATGTTGAAGATCTTACCATGTTTACATCGAACTATTCACACATCAGGGAGTTGATTATACATTCTGATTCATGCTTCCGAGAGCTACATATGTCAGCTGATGCTGGTAAAGATGATATGCTATCTGATTCTGACGTCAAAGATTTACTAACACCAAGAGACTCTGCCATCATTGAGATACTTCAGCCAAAAGATTATTGCACTTGTGAGTCACTTACTCTTAGAAATTCTAGCATCCAGGAGTTACTTACACCTACAGATTCTTACATCCGGGAGTTATTATCAGTAAATTCTCACGTCCAGGAAATGTTAACTCCAAGAGATTCCTGCAAAAGTGAGTCACTTACAACAGGGGATTCCTACACCAATGTGTTATTAACAATACAAGATTCCTACACCCAGGAGTTACTGATTCCAAGAGATTCCTACACTTGTGAGTCACTTTCACCTAGAGATTCTTGCATTCAGGAGTCATCAGTGAATTCTCACACCGATTTGTCACTTTCAGCTGGAGATGGCTACATCCAGGAAATGATTACTCCAAGAGATTCCTACACAAGTGAGTCACTTACAACAGGGGATTCCGACATCCATGAGTTATTTACACCAAGAGATTCTTACATCCAGGAGTTACTAACCCAAAGAGATTCCTACACTTATGAGTCACTCACACCAGGAGACTCCTACACTAACGAGTTAGTTCTACCAGGACATTCCTACACCAATAAGTCACTGAGGCCTATGGACTCTTACATCCAGAACTTAATTGCACCCAGAGATTCTTCCATCCGGGCATTGTTAACAACAGATTCCTGCACCAGTGGGATACTTACACCAATAGATTCCAACACCAAGATAACACTTACACCAGAAGATTCTTACGTCCAAGAGGTATTGACATCTAGAGATTCCTACACCATTGAACCGCTTACACAAAGAGACTCCTACATCCAGGAGTTACTTAAACCAGGACATTCCTTCACAAATACATCACTTACGCCAGGGGAATCATACATCCAGGAGTTATTAGCACCTAGAGATTCCTACACCAATGAGTCACTTACACCAGGACATTCCTTCACCAATACATTTCTTACCCCAGGGGACTCCTACATCCAGGAGTTATTAGCACCAAGAGATTCCTACACTAACAAGTTACTGACGCCAACAGATTCCTACACTAATGAGCCACATACACCAGGAGACCTTTACATCCAGGAGTTACTTAAACCAAGTGATTCCTTCACCAATACGTCACTTACGCCAGGGGAATCCTACATCCAGGAGATATTAGCACCAAGAGAGTCCTACACTAAAAAGTTACTGACGCCAACAGATTTCTACGCTAATGAGCCACTTACACCAGAAGACTCCTACATCCAGGAGTTAATTACACCACAAGATTCCTATACCAATGAATTACTCACACCAGGACATTTCTGCATCAATACATCACTTACGCCAGGGGACTCCTACATCCAGGAGTTATTAGCACCCAGAAATTGCTACACTAACAACATACTGATGCCAACAGATTCCTACGCTAATGAGCCACTTCCACCAGAAGACTCCTACACCCAGGACTTCCTTACACCTACATCTAGATGTTCTGACATCCGAGAGTTACTGACACCAAGAGATTTATCCACCAATGAGTCACTTACACAAGGAGACTCCTACATCCAGGAGTTACTTACGCCAAGAGATTCCTACACCAATGAGTCACTTACACCAGGCCATTCCTTCACCAATACATCACTTACGCCAGGGGACTCCTACATCCAGGAGTTATTAGCACCAAGAGATTCATACACCACTGAGTCACTTACACCAGGAGACTCCTACACCCAGGACTTCCTTACACCTAGAGATTTCTACACCAATGAGTCGCTTACACCAGGACATTCCTCCACCAATACATCACTTACGCCAGGGGACTCCTACATCCAGGAGTTATTAGCACCTAGAGATTGCTACACTAACAACATACTGATGCCAACAGATTCCTATGCTAATGAGCCACTTACATCAGAAGACTCCTACACCCAGGACTTCCTTACACCTACATGTAGATGTTCTGACATCCGAGAGTTACTGACACCAAGAGATTTATCCACCAATGAGTCACTTACACAAGGAGATTCCTACATCCAGGAGTTACTTACGCCAAGAGATTCCTACACCAATGAGTCACTTACACCAGGCCATTCCTTCACCAATACATCACTTACGCCAAGAGACTCCTACATCCACAAGTTATTAGCACCAAGAGATTCCTACACCAAAGAGGCACTTACACCAGGAGATTCCTACACCCAGGACCTCCTTACATCTAGATATTCTGACATCCGGGAGTTATTGACAACAGGTGATTCCTCCACGAATGAGTCACTTACCCGAGGAGACTCCTACATCCAGGACTTCCTTACACCTAGAGAATCTTACATCCGAGAGTTATTGACACCAAGAGATCTTAACACCAATGAGTCACTTACACCAGGAGATTCCTACATCCAGGAGTTACTAACACCAATAAATTCCTATACCAATGAGCCACTTACAGGACATTCCTACACCAATAAGCCATTTACTGGTGTTGAACTTGAATCACCTAGGCAAGGGGACAACAAAACTTCACCTACATCTAGCTTAGACAGTGATGCCGTACAGCATGGACCCTTTGGTGGAAAGGTAAAGCAGGCTTTCTGATCGTTTGTGTCCACTACTTTTTTATTTTATTCTTCTTTATTCTAATTGAACTGACATTTGAGAAAAACAATCAATGTGTTATGTGTAGATACATGTGTAAAGGTAAATCTAAATCATGACTGCACCGCAATAATTGCTCGTTGGTAAAGTTTGAATATTCGAGCCAGTGCCCTAGTAAGAAATACAAGGAATTTATAACACTAATAGAAGTCCTTCGATTATGATATCCTAAGAACCAATAGCAACCGGAACCCAAACCATAACTCTATAGCTTCAACAACTCTGAACCCCAAATAAACACTTCATTGGAGCAAATGTCTGATATACTTAAATTGCTCCTTTGGATTAATCACCTATCAGCTAATTTAATGGAAATACATGTATTTCCTACTTCATTTGAAATAATTTAATATGTGACATAATTTAAACATGCCCTGTAGGCCCTACACTTATTTTTTCCTAGATTATTGGACTAATTGTATCATTTAATTTGCAGGAGATGGCAAATACATCATCAAGATCATCATGCCACAAAACAGATAGCTCAAAAGGAACAGTTGATGTGATGTTATCACAGCAGCCATACCTGACTGAGTTACTGCTTGTTAAAGCGGGAGATGTGGAGCTCAATCCGGGTCCTCTTCACGGGTAATACAATTAAAAATATTATGAATTAGCACATACACCATGCACCATGTACACAGGTAAACAGGCACACCCACGCATACGTACACTCACCTTGCACGCGCACAACCATTTTATATATTTATTATATATTTATCTATGTATTATATATCATACATACATACATGCAGGGCTCAATTAATTTTTTGTCCAAGGGGGCTCTTGAGCCCCCGTGAGCCTTCTCATTATCATTTATTTAAGTCGGCATTTTCCCTCACAACAAAAAACTTCTCCATGTCAGTTTGGTCCTTAATTGTGCGATCGCCTCTAGCTCCAGCAGATATGGGGCGGCCCCGTGCACACCGGTACTACCGGCACAGCTAGTAGCGAATCTTCGCTCAGCGACGGACAGACCTTCTATGACATGGGAGCACTCAGGGTTTACAGCCGTCGCACACAGACCGCCCTTGTTACAATAAGCAGTTTCGCTTTTTGGTGAACACGTACGTATAGTGAACTCAGTACGTATAGTACGGAGGTATTGCATTGCAATGTCAATAAGCTATTTTCGTAATGTAACCAAATTTAATGCATACGTCTTTGTGAAGTGCCTCGATACAAACTATTTCATTCACCTGATAAGAATAATAGTATTTCAATAGACAGAATCCAAACTGCATACATTAGATGTTACCTGGTTGGAAAAACATTATGGCTTGCCCTACCTTCATATATGCAGTTTGCATTCTGACTATTGAAATACTATTATTCTTATCAGGTGAATGAAATAATTTGCATTGAGGAATTTCACAAAGACGTATGTATTCAATTTGATTACCGGTACATTATGAAAATGGCCTATTCCCTGACAAGCAATACAGTACAGACAGGACTACACGACTAGCACAACTTGTCACGTTGTTATAGTTAAGAAACAATAATCAAAAGAAAAAACTTGCTGAAGAGCCGTTCACGTTGAAATTAGTCATCCTTCGTAATAAAACGATAAAGTTCTCATACCATCTTTGGTACAAGCTCGCTGATTGGCTGTTGATTCACTTGGGGCGTCATTGAGAACGACTGCAGGTTTGGCAAAAAAAACGTTTTGGATTTCAGTACCTCAGCGGTCACCCTGCTGATACTATAGTAGCTTCTCTATTTTGCAAATGAACCACAGTTTTTTCGGCCACGTTGAGCTTGCGAAAATTCCCTAGCATAGCCACTGCTGACGGCCGCACTGCACTGCGAGCTTCCGTTGTTTGTATTGTTAATACTCGTGGAGATGGGAGATATAGCGCCATCTTGCGCCGTATAAGCATACATTTTTTAACAATATGGCGGCCTCTAGACACCAAAAAATTTGAGCAAGAAATCATGCACGCTAATCTAACTTCCATAGTTCAATTTCATTGGTTTAAGGTTTGAAAGTTATAACAGAAAAGACAATCTTTATTTTGTAATTCAATGGGGGCGATTTTTAATTTTGCAATCGCCCCCGTGAGCAATCTGACGGAGGCGATTATGTAGCTCACGGGGGCGAATCGCCAGTGTCGCCCTGTGTATTTTAAGCCTTGTATACATGTATATATATACGTAGTAATAAATATAGAGTTCACAACATCATAAAGGATACAAACAAGAGGAGCATGGTTTTACCTTCACAAGCGCTTCTGATTTATTCTCATCATATGAAGTGATGACGAGCATAAATTGAAAGCACTTGTGAAATTGTATCAACCATGTCCTGCACATCTAAGCATGTAATATTTTGTTACTTTATGCTTAGAAATAATGAAACGAAATGGATTTGTTCCTCCTTTTCATGAGCAAAAAAATGAAAGTATATATTTTCTTGAATTCATTGATTTTAATCTACTTTTCTCCTTTTCTTTTTTTCTTTTAGATCGATAGATAGTGCACTGCAGGAGAGTGAACTCGTATTGCTCGCTGAAGAAGTTCCAGTCAATTGCTACAATAAATTGTGCATTGGTCTTGGTATCAGCTTCTCTCAGAGCCAGGATGTACTGACCCAACATCATTTGAACTTCCCAGGAGCTTTGATCCAAATCTTCTACAGATGGAAGGTCAGGCAGAGAGATGGCACCAATTGTAGAGCACTTCTTGGAGAAATTCTTCAAAATGCTGATATGGTTGTACTTCAGACGAAATTATTGAAAGGTAACTTTGCCATTGTATTTGTAACTTATTTTTTGTTCCATAAATGTCGTCATTTCATGCATGATAACGAATAACATTTTGATACACATACAACGGACAGTGAGAAGAGATACAAAAGCATGAATAATTTTATTCACATTAAAAACAAAATTTATCAAATTAAACATAAAAAGGAGAAGTATTATCAGCCGAGAACATTATTGCTTAGGCGTGCAAATCTTATTCTCTTAAAACTACTTTACTTTATGTGCGAGGTAACAACATGGAAGAAAAAAGAAAGATTCAGAACTATGTCCCAGCCTTGCTTATTATTAACAATTTTACATAATTTTCAGACTTATGCTCAAACGCCGCCCCCACCCTGCCAAAGTAGCTAGAGTTCACTGTTTTGAATATGGTATGTGGACATTTTTAAAATCATGGAAAAAAGGAGAAAGGATCATAACTATGTCCTAGCTTTGCTTGTTTTTACATAATTTTCAGACTTATGCTTGACCCCCCCCCCCCCCCCACGAACCTGCTAGAGAAATTCACAGTTTTTAATATGCTATGTGGACATTTTTTAAACATTAAAAAAACATTAAAAAATAATTAACTGAACATAAACCGCTCTTTTATCTATGTAATTTTATTTCCGTTCTTCAGGTGAATATCTTACATCTGGAACCCCAACGTCATCAATAGATAGTGCACTGCAGGAGAGTGAACTTGTATTGCTCGCTGAAGAAGTTCCAGTCGACTGCTACAATAAATTGTGCATTGGTCTTGGTATCAGCTTATCTCAGAGCCAGGATGTACTGACCCAACATCATTTGAACTTCCCAGGAGCTTTGATCCACTTTTTCTGCAGATGGAAAGTCAGTCAGAGAGATGGCACCAATTGTAGAGCACTTCTTGGAAAAATTCTTCAAAACGCTGATATGGTTGTACTTCAGACAAAATTATTGAAAGGTAACTTCGCCATTGTATTTGTAACGTTTTTTTTGTTACATGAATGTCGTCATTTTATGCATGATCACAGAGGTACATGATAACGATAAACATTTTGATACACATACAACGGACAGTGAGAATAGATGCGAAAGCATGAATAATTTTATTCGCATTAAAAACACAATTTATCAAATATAACTTAAAAAGGAAAAGTATTATCAGCCGAGAAAATTATTGTTCAGGCGTGAAAATCATATCCTCTTACAACTACTTCACTTTATGTGTGATGTGTTAACATGGAATAAAAGAGAAAAATTCAGAACTATGTCCCAGCTTTGCTTATTATTTACAATTTTACATATTTATCAGACTTATGCTCAACCCCCGCCCCCACCCTGCCAAAGTAATTCACTGTTTTGAATATGGTATGTGGACATTTTTTGCTAAAATAATTAACTGAACATAAACCGCTCTTTTATCTTTGTAATTATTTATTTCCGTTCTTAAGGTGAATATCTCACATCTGGAACCCCAACGTCATCGATAGATAGTGCACTGCAGGAGAGTGAACTCGTATTGCTCGCTGAAGAAGTTCCAATCTACTGCTACAATAAATTGTGCATTGGTCTTGGTATCAGCTTATCTCAGAGCCGGTATGTACTGACCCAATATCATTTGAACTTCCCAGGAGCTTTGATAGAATTATTCTGCAGATGGAAATTCAGGCAGAGAGATGGCACCAATTGTAGAGCACTTCTTGGAAAAATTCTTCAAAACGCTGATATGGTTGTACTTCAGACAAAATTATTGAAAGGTAACTTTGCCATTGTATTTGTAACGTTTTTTTTGTTAAATGAATGTCGTCATTTTATGCATGATCACAGAGATAACGATAAACATTTTGATACACATACAACGGACAGTGAGAATAGATGCGAAAGCATGAATAATTTTATTCGCATTAAAAACACAATTTATCAAATATAACTTAAAAAGGAAAAGTATTATCAGCCGAGAAAATTATTGTTCAGGCGTGAAAATCATATCCTCTTACAACTACTTCACTTTATGTGTGATGTGTTAACATGGAATAAAAGAGAAAAATTCAGAACTATGTCCCAGCTTTGCTTATTATTTACAATTTTACATATTTATCAGACTTATGCTCAACCCCCGCCCCCACCCTGCCAAAGTAATTCACTGTTTTGAATATGGTATGTGGACATTTTTTGCTAAAATAATTAACTGAACATAAACCGCTCTTTTATCTATGTAATTTTATTTCCGTTCTTCAGGTGAATATCTTACATCTGGAACCCCAACGTCATCAATAGATAGTGCACTGCAGGAGAGTGAACTTGTATTGCTCGCTGAAGAAGTTCCAGTCGACTGCTACTATAAATTGTGCTCTGGTCTTGGTTTTAGCTCATCTCAGAGTCAAAATGTACTGACCCAACATCATTTGAACCTTTCAGGAGCTTTGATAGAATTATTCTGCAGATGGAAAGGCAAGCAGAGAGATGGCACCAATTGTAGAGCACTTCTTGGAGAAATTCTTCAAAACGCTGATATGGTTGTACTTCAGACAAAATTATTGAAAGGTAACTTTGCCATTGTATTTGTAACGTCTTTTTTGTTACATGAATGTTTTCATTTTATGCATGATCACAGAGGTACATGATAACGATAAACATTTTGATACACATACAACGGACAGTGAGAATAGATGCGAAAGCATGAATAATTTTATTCGCATTAAAAACACAATTTATCAAATATAACTTAAAAAGGAAAAGTATTATCAGCCGAGAAAATTATTGTTCAGGCGTGAAAATCATATCCTCTTACAACTTCTTCACTTCATGTGTGATGTGTTAACATGGAATAAAAGAGAAAAATTCAGAACTATGTCCCAGCTTTGCTTATTATTTACAATTTTACATATTTTTCAGACTTATGCTCAACCCCCGCCCCCACCCTGCCAAAGTAATTCACTGTTTTGAATATGGTATGTGGACATTTTTTGCTAAAATAATTAACTGAACATAAACCGCTCTTTTATCTTTGTAATTATTTATTTCCGTTCTTAAGGTGAATATCTCACATCTGGAACCCCAACCTCATTGATAGATAGTGTACTGCAGGACAGTGAACTCATATTGCTCGCTGAAGTAGTTCCAGGCGACTGCTACTATAAAGTGTGCTCTGGTCTTGGTTTTAGCTCATCTCAGAGTCAAAATGTACTGACCCAACATCATTCGAACCTTCCAGGAGCTTTGATTGAATTATTCTGCAGATGGAAAGGCAAGCAGAGAGATGGCACCAATTGTAGAGCACTTCTTGGAGAAATTCTTCAAAACGCTGATATGGGTGCACTTCAGACAAAATTATTGAAAGGTAACTTTGCCATTGTATTTGTAACGTCTTTTTTGTTACATGAATGTCGTCATTTTATGCATGATCACAGAGGTACATGATAACGATAAACATTTTGATACACATACAACGGACAGTGAGAATAGATGCGAAAGCATGAATAATTTTATTCGCATTAAAAACACAATTTATCAAATATAACTTAAAAAGGAAAAGTATTATCAGCCGAGAAAATTATTGTTCAGGCGTGAAAATCATATCCTCTTACAACTTCTTCACTTTATGTGTGATGTGTTAACATGGAATAAAAGAGAAAAATTCAGAACTATGTCCCAGCTTTGCTTATTATTTACAATTTTACATATTTATCAGACTTATGCTCAACCCCCGCCCCCACCCTGCCAAAGTAATTCACTGTTTTGAATATGGTATGTGGACATTTTTTGCTAAAATAATTAACTGAACATAAACCGCTCTTTTATTTATGTAATTATTTATTTCCGTTCTTAAGGTGAATATCTCACATCTGGAACCCCAACCTCATTGATAGATAGTGTACTGCAGGAGAGTGAACTCAAATTGCTCGCTGAAGAAGTTCCAGTCGACTGCTACTATATATTGTGCATTGGTCTTGGTATCAGCTTATCTCAGAGCCGAAATGTACTAACCCAACATCGTTTTAACTTCCCACATGCTTTGATCGAATTCTTCTATGGATGGAAGGTCAGGCAGAGAGATGGCGCCAATTGTAGAGCACTTCTTGGAGAAATACTTAAAAACGCTGATATGGGTGCACTTCAGACAAAACTAATGAAAGGTAACTTTGCCGTTGTATTTGTAATGTCAATTTTGTTACATGAATGTCATCACTTCATGCATGATCACAGAGGTAAATGATAATGATTAACATTTTGATACACATACAACGGACAGTGAGAATACATACAAAAGCATGAATAATTGTATGGGCATTAAAAACACAATTTATCAAATAAATCTTTATTAAAGGAAAAGTATTTCCAGCCGAGAAAATTATTGTTAAGGCGTGAAAATCATGTCCTCTTACAATTACTTTACTTTATGTGTGATGTGTTAACATGGAATAAAAGTGGAAGATTCAGAACTATATCCCAGCTTTGCTATTATTTACATAATTTTCAGAATTATGCTCGCCTCCCCCCCCCCCCACCCTCCACCCTGCAGGAGAATTCACTGTTTTGAATGTGGTATGTGGACATATTTTACAACATCAATTAACAAAACGTTTACCGTTCTTTAATTTATCTTTGTAATTTTATTTTTTGTTCTTAAGGTGAATATCTTACATCTGGAACCCCAACCTCATTGATATATAGTGTACTGCAGGAGAGTGAACTCAAATTGCTCGCTGAAGAAGTTCCAGTTGGATGCTACAATAAATTGTGCATTGGTCTTGGTTTCAGCTTATCTCAGAGCCAAACTGTACTGACCCAACATCATTTCAACTTCCCAGGGGCTTTGATCCAAATGTTCTGCAGATGGAAGGTCAGGCAGAGAGATGGCACCAATTGTAGAGCACTTCTTGGAGAAATTCTTCAAAACGCTGATATGGGTGCACTTCAGACAAAATTATTAAAAGGTAACTTTGCCATTGTATTTGTAACGTCTTTTTTGTTACATGAATGTTTTCATTTAATGGCAGGATCACAGAGGTACATGATAACGATAAACATTTTGATACACATACAACGGCCAGTGAGAATAGATACAAAAGCATGAATAATTTTATTTGCATTAAAGATACAGCTTATCTACAAAACTTAAAAAGAATTATTATCAGCCTAGAAAAATTATTGCTTACGCGTGCAAATCTTATCCACTTAAACTTCTTTACTTTATGTGCAATGTAGCAAGATTGAAGAAAAAAGAAAGATTCAGAAGTATATCCCAGCGTTGCTTTTTTTTAAACATAATTTTCAGACTTTAATATGCTCGACCCCCCCCCCCACCCCCGCTAGAGAAATACACTGTTTGATTAACTTTTTTGGACATATTCTACAACATTAATTAACAAAACAGTAACCGATCCTTTATCTATGTAATTTTATTTCCGTTCTTAAGGTGAATATCTTACATCTGGAACCTCATCGTTTGGTAAGTGTACATTACACAATTTACACGAAAGATCATTTTTTCATCGAGGGACTATCGTGTCTTATCAATAAAAATTACATTGTGTATCCGTCCCTAATAAGAGCATTGATCAAAGTTATGTAAATCATCTATTCATAATATATCTATAACGTACCCTCAAAGACTGATAGTACTTGCAAGTTTGCCCATAACATTCCATTTCCAATGGGTGTGTCCGAGGATGTGGTAAAATCCTGTAGTTATTTGATTCGTTCCTATATTTACACCCAAAGATGTCAATTAACGTTTCTATACACGTTAGGCTTTTAATATCTGTGTCCTTATTTGTAACATCTGTTGAAATAGATATTTCGTTGAATTAACATAAATTGTTTTCAATCTCCGTACAGATCCAATATTGGATACTTCCCAACCATTCATGACTGAAGCACAGGTTCTCCAGTGTGGGGAAGACTTGAAGATATTCTATCGCGAACAGATGTGCAAAATCAAACCTGACCCGCTTGAATCCAATATCATCTTCGACTTCGAACAAATTTACACGAACTTAACGCTTCTCAGGAAAGAAATGGGAATAATGAGAACAGAAAGGCCAGAAAGGCCACTGGATTACACTGATCTTCTTACTACAAAGATTAATGGGGTACTTCCTAAACGTCTTCTGGTTGAAGGTGAAGGTGGCGTAGGTAAAACAACCTTCTGTTCGAAGATTGCATGGGATTGGTTCAATGGATCTCCAGAGTTTCAGCGCTTTAGTTGGGTTCTGGTTATACCCCTGTGCAACATTGTCAAGGGTCAGACAATTGGCGATATTATGAAAAACTACCTCTCTGACAACAATGCTGTAAACCCTAAACAGATCGATAGTTACATACTGTCTCAACCTACAAAGGTTCTGATTGTACTTGATGGACTCGATAAGTATGATGGAGACCTCTCTGCCGAAGAAAACTCAGATATTTCTCAGATTCTACGATTTGATAAATTCAAGCAATGCATAGTTCTGGTGACAACAAGACCATGGGGGGCGGATAAGATCAAATCCAATGAAAGATTGCTTAGGTCGTATGCTTTCATTGTAATAAAAGGATTTAGTACTGAAAATGTCTCAACATACATTAGCAAGTACTTTGTGGACGATGAAAAGGCGGGATCAGAACTAATTCGGTTTATTGAAGTGAATGATGTAATCAAGGAGAACATGGCACCCTTCCCAATTTACTTAACCATGCTTTGCATCTTATGGAAAAATTGTGACAGTGAGAAACAAGAAACCATACGCAGACTGAAGACATTTTCTCAATTATTTGAACAAATGATTATGTTTCTAAGAGACCATGACATTTCCAAAGTGTTTGATCTGGACAAGGAAATGGAAAATACCAAGCTTTGTTTGCAAAGAATAGGATCGATTGCCTTCTCAGGAATCCTGGAAAAGAAATTGGTTTTTAGTGAGGAGGACTTCAGCTCGTGTAAGGAAGCCATGGAGACATGTTGCAGAATGGGAGTTCTAAGTCGGGAAAATCAAAATGTATCCAGATGGCAAAGAACTTTGAATCCTTCACCGCGTATAATCACTGGTGTCTTTTTTCCTCACAAATTATTTCAAGAATATGTTGCATCTGTTTATCTTGCCTCTCTATATGACACAAATCGCGAAGAGTACAGCAGGTCGATGGGCAAAGTACTGAGCAAGGACCCACAAGAATTCCGTTACCTCTTGTATTTCACTGCTGCCCTGGGAAAGGAGGTTGGACTTGATATTGTCGAGAAAATACAACAAAATGATTTCGCAAATGTACAACAAAGAAAAAGAAACAATGATTTTCTAGCAGATGTCGCTTTTGAAGCATATAACAAAGACGTGGCGAAAGTAGTAGGACAACAGATATTTGCAGACGGGAGAATACTGACTATCGATAAAGACATGCCTGCTCACACATTTTCTGGTTATTTATTCATCATGGAACAGCATGGAATGGTTTGTTTTAATTTTAGTGCGTATAACGAAAGTCAACATTGAATACCCGCAGTAAGAAACGTGTGTAAATTTCCCTACAAATAAGTACATTTTGACATGCCTATTTTGTGTAAATACATGTATCCCTTTTGAGAATTGACACAAGGGATGCAGTATATCAAACCTACTTACTGCCAGCCGAAAATGGCGTGCTCCTTAATACAAAAAATGTTAGGCTTGGCCATATCATAGGGCTGGGCATACAAGTTAGCTGGAAATGCCATCTCCGGCTGCTTGATGCAAGTGTAGGGAAGATATACTTATGATTATTATACAGAACCGGCCAGATTCTGGACGAGATCACCTTGTGCTATAGTTATAACCATATAGGTATATCATACAGTGTTTTTATATTTATATATACAAACACTGTATGATATACCTAGGCCTGTATAACTAGTCAGGATCATTAAAGCAATAAGAATTCTATAGTAATTATAACATGTTTATGTCTATTTCAGGAGACTTTGGTGTTCAGAGACAGATCATGTGGCCAAACTGTATCGCGTGACCTAGCAAATGTCCTATTTGAATCGAAATCTTTATCAAGATTAGTTTTTTATCATACAACATTGGATGATGACTTCTATCAGTTAATGCATAAACGAGTTCCTACAAAGACGGTAAATATATAATTATTTAAACAGAATACTAATGATTACAATTCGTCTTTATCAGACAAATTTTAGACATGGTACAGTGTAAATAATACTTTTATTTTTGGTTCAAAAACGTTACTCTGGGACGTGGGACGTGGCACGCCGGAACCAGTTCAATTTTTTTCTTCTGGGGGGGGGGGGGGGGGGGGGGGGGGGGGTTGGGGGGGGAGGTTGAGAAAAAAAAGTAGCGTGGATTCTTCTTCTTTTTTTTGGTCTCCGACATGTAGCTACGTAGACTACCTGCATATCTCCCCAAACAAGCACGTTTACCTCTTTTAACATATAAAATAAAAATAAAATTTACAGATTTTTCAAAGTACAGAACAAATGGGAAGGGAGCTTGCAAAATGCGTCACACAGTTTCCCAATTTGTGTTTGATAGATTGCGACTTCATGTTTATTTACAAATGGAATTCGCATAAACTTTCAATGACCTGTCTCTCTCATTTTTCTGCTGATATTAAAACCAACTTAACATCGGTGGACTTCCCCTTTTAAAAAAGTGAAGCCAAAATGCCTGTCACCATTTATACGTAATAGGGTTTTTTTAATAAAGAAGTGAATGAAAAGGATATTACAATAAAACAGGGTGACTAGTAGGGGAAAAACAGGAAAAGCGTTTATGAGTATGTTTTCTTTGAGCAATTATGAAAAACAAATCTGAAATGGGCCGTAAGATATCTATCTTTTGGGGGAAAAAACATATATATCTGCTTTATCAACAAAAAGTTTTCCTTTTCATTAGAATGGGAATTTCTGTCTGTATGGCATTGTAGAACATGACTAATCTGCCATTCTTTTTCATACAAGCTTTTCTTATTATTTTTAAAGGTGGAGAATGTACACATCATAACTTGAGTCTTGTATCGTATGAAAAGATTTATTGATAATACTCTACTTAATTGACTTTACGCACACAGGTAGGTAAATCCTCAATCAAAGAGCTGGTTGTAGATCATCAATTCCTAAGTGGTCTACAGATGTATAATAATGGTGACATTAATGTCACAGTTGAGGACCTATTCCCGAGCTTGAAGCAATTGACTTTCACCACTCTTCATACTGTCTCACCTGGAGTTGTTAAACAGTTGGCACATTCCAGCCTAGAAGTGTTGTTTATTGAGCATGGTGAGGAAGGGAGTAAATTAGTTCCTCTCATTGGAGAACCTGCTTCACTGGGGCAACTTTTCTCCACTTCATTCCCACAACTCACCTGTCTGACCTTCCGAGAGCTAGTAATGGGCAACATACGCAGTGAAGCAATACTACGTAATCTAAAGAACCACCTACATTTGAAATCAATAAGGTATGTTCAGGGCCATGTTTGCAGAAATTATCAATATATCCACTGATATTAATGATTATTGATAATATTACTACTACTAATAATAATGATCATGATCATAATAATAATAATAATAATAATAATAATAATAACAATAATAATATTTATGGTAATGATAATTATTGCAATCATGATAATAATACAAATCAATAAAGAATTAAATTTGTATTTAAAAAAAGGATAGGCCTATATATGTAAAGACAAAAATGCCAAAAAATAATTAAATAGTTTTGATTTATGACAGCAATCAAAATTATCCCAAGAACAATTATTACGGGTAAGAGTTGTCTGTTTTCAACAGCGTTGTCAATTATTAAATTGTTTCTATCAGAACTATTTGAAGGTTCGGTGCTAAAGTGAAAGGGACTTGAAACGGATATGAACTGCATGATTAAGTTCATCTTGATGATTAAACCATTGTCATTGGTGTTCATCGCTACATAGCTACCTAGAATATTTATAATAAGATTTTTTATTTCACATCTAATACTATGTTCGTTTTAATCAATTATTTTTAACTGTTTGAATTGTAAACGAAAAGGTATTAACAAATATTATAAAAAACCTCAGTAGCTGGTATACAGTGCGTATACAAAAAAAGTGTACCCAACTTTGGTAGCTTCTAATTAAAGAGTTATAACCTATGTGACCTTGAATCATATTTCATTGTAAAGAAGAACTGAAACTCTGTCTCATGATACCATTTTCATAATTGTGCTACCAAGGATGACTGAACAGCAGGCTTTTAAAAAGTATTGTCAAAATCCTCTTGTACCAAGTTTGGGCTAAAGTAATGAATGTGGGTCAAAAACCATTATGATCTCATTCAAAAATTAAGAGCTCATTTGTTTCAATTGAATATTAGGCAGTTGAGAAAAAAAGGTGTTAATATCAACTCAAACTCAAGGAAATGCTTATTACAAGCACAATTTATGATATTCTCTTTGTTATGATGATTACAATCTTGACTTCATTCGCTTCTTTCCTTGTTTAAGGTAACCTTCTCATTGAGTGATACAAAATGGATAAGGTTTATTTGGGATGTTATCTTTTTTGTAATAAAAGCTAGCCTGTCAATTTGTCTGATATTTATCATCATAATGTGCTCTTTCTTGCATTTAGGCCTAGTAACCTTTGAGTTTCCATACGCTATACTAGATAAACACTTTATGCTCCTTATGCGTGTGAGATGGCGCGGTGGACAAGAGAGCAATGAGAACTTAGATATCATGAGACAAGTAGTTAGTAGGCTGTGTAAAATAATTAAAGGTGATCCTGTGGATTGAAACAAGGAACTGTGAAAGCCTTGACAAATTGCATCATTTTAAACAATGAAGCACTGAAGCACGAGTCACAATTTAACTTTTAAAAGGATTTAAAACCAAAGAAGCACATGCATATGGCCTGATCCACATTGGTTCCTTTAGCCCAAACTTGGAACAAGGCGATTTTGACAACACTTTTTAAACCTTAATGTACTGGGCTATTTTGAGCACCTCACTGACTGGGGGGGGGGGGGGGGCTGGGAGGCCCCCCCCCCTTCTATGATCTCGGCCGCATAAATTATGAATACGCATTCATGAATATCAAATCTGGAAATATATAGGGAACTAGAATCATTACAAAAATTGTCAGACTCCACCTTTTGAATGTTAATTGGAACTCATTATTCATATGAAACTTCTTTTCTGTCACAAAATAGATATTTTGATGTAATAAATAATGATAATTTATGCAAATTTGATGCGATTTTCAAATAATTATTTTCTTTTGTAGTTTATTGTTGTTTATTTCTTATTACATGTATATCTATTGTTCTATTTCTAATGTATTCTTTTGTTCTGGAATACATCAAGTTACTTTGAGAAACATATAAAAGCAATTTCATATCAATTCATATCTCCCACTTAGGAAGAAATGCATCTAAACCTGTATTCACATTTCTGCTTGTACATGAATATATGCAATTCTAGCACTTTTTGATGACATGCGCATACTAATTGTTATGTAACACCTTACAGATATATCCGATTTCGACGAAAATGGTATCAAAATGTGCGTAAGACTTGAGGGAAAAAAGTCATGAAACAACGATTCAAAATTCCCAGCGGTTGGGGCGCAATCTTTGGCCCCCCCCCCCCCCCCCCCAGTACAGTAAGGGTTAAAGACCCTGGTGCTCATTCACCCCTCGGCAGAAATAATAGGGTATCATTGGACAGAAAATAAGTTACTCTTCATGATGAAATCAATTTTAAAGTTGGATTGGTTATGACTTTTTAATTAAAAGCTACCAAAGTTGGGTACAGATTTTTTTTCTCTTTGATACGTGCTGTATAACCTGTTTGGAAGGAATTAGATAATACTCATATATATTATATCACATAGTATTATATTCTTCTTTAATTCCGTTAAACATTCAGTGATTCAAAATGTTTAAATATGTACGTTCCTTTTACATATATTTTGTATAGTATCATTAGCTGTTTTACGGATGATGAACTGGACCCCCTTGCTGAACAAATAACTACTGAGAACAGGATGAAACTAACACTTCAACATGACAAGGTAGCGTCTTTTTTCATATCTACTATGTTGGCCCTAAAGAAGTTTTAAAAGTGAAAATATGATAATTAAAAAGAAGTTTACCCTGATATTCTGTTGGTTTTGATAAGAGGAGGAAATTAGTAAAGGTTTATTCAAAATCTGATAGAAATATAATAGAAACAAATTGACAACGCTATGAAGGTTCTTGCGAGGCCCTGTACCATTTGCTCTGTACTATAAATGTATTTTCTGTAAAGAAATATAACACATGTCCCCTGCATATAGTAATTGCACATATATTTCTACACAAAGCCTGTATGAAAAAGAAATTCTTTAATCACCAACTAAGAAATTGAAATGTATTATTTCTTATACAGCGCAAATGGAAGAGGAGACCAGGAAGGACATCAGATATCATGGTGTAAATCCTTACGTAATACCTATTGTTCAGGGGGGGGGGATGAATGAATAGATCATCCCCCCCTGAACAATAGATTTACAACAAATTTACGTCCATGTCAGATATACACGTATCAAATGTCAATTATCATTCATGTTCGATGCAAAATACAAATTTAAAAGCGTATAAATTGTCAGACACTTGGAGAAATTTGGCCAACCTCCAAAATTTTCAAGCATATTGACAAAACTTCATTGTCATAAGCCGAATTAATTGGAAGTTTAGATATAAACTGTATGATTTGCGTCTTATAGAAATCCCATGAAACTTTGCCCTACTTCAGGTTTTTTAATATAATAAATCAGAATCTCTTCTTTTCAACAGACACAAAGGTCATTATTTTTTGGCAGCAGTATTGGACCATTAACAATGGATATGATAGATGCACTTTGCCATCGAACGTGTGCCCGTCAGTTGGTAGGGTTTAACTATGGCGTAAAGATTGCAGGTGAAGAATCTTTTCCAGACTTTCATGGCCGAGAGGTGGATTCAAAGGTTAGTGAAGCAACGAAGCAGATTTCTTACAATCCCATCCCCCCCCCCATCCCCCTCCACCTCTCTCTCTTCCTCGACCATAAGAGTTCCTTTACTTGCTTACTTTATTCTCCCATTTCCTTTTATTTTCACTTCTTTATAATTTGATGTCCTTTAAAGGGATCCGGTAACTTTGTCTCAGATTCTGAAACAATATCCGGGATTTAGCTCATGCTGCTATGATAATTATAAACCTTTATGTCAGTCAGGAACTCCATGACTTTTACAAGCCGATCGCCTGTCTGATTATCAAGATATTTATGATTGAAATTACAAATTTTCAAAACCGTTCGCCGGACGGTTTTCATAACACTACAGTCTATTGGGGGAAACGAGTATGGTAAAACCGGTCACTCACAGATTTTTACTTTTTTGAGGCACTTCTTGATCATTTTGAAGCGCGATTTTTTTAGGGCTTCAATATTACACCATATCACAGACACTGATAACACGTAGGGCCGTGTATCTCAGATTTATCATTGTTAAACGATCCCTTTAAAGGGAATATATATTATTTCACATTTTTTTAAATTTTGTATGTATAGGTGATATGTCTATAATCAATCCCCACTAGGGAGGAGAGCCTTCAAGTCATATCAGATTTAGTTGGATAATCCTAGACATTATAATTTTCTTCATTGCTCTCCTATTACTCATTTTTGGTCTGTCATGCTGATATTTGTATTTTTTTGCAAATAAAGTTGTAATGAAAGGAAATGAAGATACCTTCTGCTGACTAGTATTGTAATTTTCACAAATTGAATTTTATCCTGAAAATGATGTGATAGTCTAACAACCATGAGGCCCAACCGCATCTTGGGCAGTGCAAGAGGCAAACACATGTTGATTAATTTTTAAAAGGTTCAATCCCCCATACAGTTAGATTCATTTCATTTACAGGTTTTTGTATGGGGGGGGGGGGGGGGTGTCTATACACAAACATACATTACATGGATGGTTTAAGATCTACAAATAATAATAATATTTTAGCTTATATAGCGCTTGATACGTCGGGAATGTCCAAGTTTCTAAGCGCTTTACATTATTACCCCAGTCATCGGATTCTGGCTTGCCCGCACACAATGTATGCACTTTCTCCACTCCCTGGGTAGCATTCCAAGAGCTACTAGGCTCAAATTGCTTAGCATACCACATTGACTTTCACATTGTACTGGGTACCCATTTAACACCTGGGTGGAGAGTGGCAAATGTAGATCAATGTCTTGCCAAAGGACATTAGTGCCGCGGCGGAACTCGAACCGCGGACCTTGTGATCGACAGACGGGCAACGTATCCACTCGACTACAACACCTCTACGAGTACAGCGATCACCATCATCAATTACATTTTTTCCCCCATCTGATCTGATAGGATAGGGCCATAATTCCATAGATGCATTCTCTTGAACACGATACTTTTGTAGCACTCGGTTAAAACGAAACAAACAAGCAAATGATAAGAAATTGCCATAAACCACAAACTAATAGGGGTATTCATATGGTGCGAAAGACACTAATCTAGAATACCATAATATTTCACAGTCATGCCTGTGTGTCATTCTCTTTTCTTATTTTTTGTTTTTTGTATGATCCAGAACCCTGGATCTTCTTCTGTAATTATGTGAAGTAATGCTTAATATAATGTGACAGTACAGACAAGGGTTCCATTATTTTCCCCATGTCATGCTTCATGACTCACTTATGGTATTCTTTTGTATTTTCCATGCACAGATTCAGACGTTTAAGGGCTACAATTTGAACCTACGCGATGATCAATCAGCATCCTGCTGTCTGGGGAAGTTTCTCAGTCTCCTGACTCATCTTACAGACCTGGAGATTTGCTCATGTTCCTTTCATGATGATTTCTATACAGAGATTGCTGATCAACCTTCATCCGTAAAAAAGAAAATCAGACGTTTCTATAACTAAATGATGACCAATCAGCTTCCTCTTGTCGAGAGAAGTTTCTCTGTGACTGGATTAAAGCATTCCAACTGTATTTGTAATAGTTGATTTTTTTTAATATGTTTGTGTTCATTGTATATACATTTTACAAAGAAAATATAAAAAAAAGAACCAAACAGTTGCAACATATTTTGCTCTTTAAATTTCTTTTTACTGACCCCCCCCCCCCCCCCCCCCCCCTCTAGACAAGAATACTGGATCATCTTCTGGTAATATGTGAATACTTAATGTGACAGTACAGACTATATTAAGGGTTCCATTATTTTCCCCATGTCATGCCTTATGACTCACTTATGGTATTCCTTTTTTCCATTTCCAGCATGCACAGATTCAGACGTTTAAGGTTTTTGATTTGAACCTATGCGATGATCAATCGGCATCCTACTGTCTGGGGAAGTTTCTCAGTCTTCGTCCTCATCTTACAGACCTGGAGATTTGCTCATGTACCTTTCATGATGATTTCTACAAAGAGATGGCTGATCAAGCTTCTTCATCTCAGGTAAAATTCATTATAAAAAAAAATCAGATAAAAAGAGATGGGAAATATTTGTTTCCTTTTTAAACCTTAAGAATGCAGGATAGGATTACCAATAGAGTGGCCAAAATATTCTTGACGCTTTTTCCATGAATGACACTTTGTCCCCAATAAGATGTTTCTAAAACTAAATGATGAACAATCAACTTCCTCTTGTAGGGAGAAATTTCTCTGTGTCTGGATAAGTGCATTCCAACAGTATTTTTATGCCTCCGTTACGAAGTAGCCGGAGGCATTATGTTTTCGGGTTGTCCCTCCGTCTGTACGTACGTCCCGTTCTCGTGATCGCGTTATCTGAAAAACCGATTGATGGATTCCTGCCAAACTTTGGTCATGAATGTATCCTGCAGAGCCGATGATTTGATTAGATTTTGGGTCACGAGGTCAAAGGTCAAAGGTCACAGGGCTCATTATGTATGCAAAAACAGCTTGTGATCGCGTTATCATTAGAACAGATTGATGGATTCCTGCCAAACTTGGATCATGTATGAATCTTGCAGAGCCGATGAACTGAGTAGATTCTGGGGTTATGAGGTCAAAGGTTGAAAGTCAAGGGGCTCATTATGTATGCAAAAATAGCTTTTGAACGCATTTTCATTAGAACTGACAGATGGATTACTATCAAACTCAGCTAGGACATGTATGTCTTGCAGAGCCAATGAACTGATAAGATTTTAGAGTCATGAGGTCAAAGATCAAAGGGTCATACATGTATATGAAAAAAAGCTTGTAATCACGATATTTTGAGAACCTGTTAATGATTTCGATCAAAGTTGAATTTTAAAATTGCTTCTGTTTTGGTCGGTAAAATCGCTCAATGGCGGAGGCATCATTTTCGACTGCGCACAGCTAGTCGAAGGTCCATCTAGTTAAAAATGATTTTTATTTGTTTGTGTTCATTGTATATATATATACATTTTACACAGAAAATAAAACGAACCAACCAAACAGTTACCAAGTAGTTTGCTCTTTAAATTTCTTATACCGACTCTCTCGCCAGCCCCCCCCCCTTCCCTCAAACCAGAACCCTAGCTGGAACATCTTCTGTAATTATGTGACAGTACAGACTATATTAAGGGTTCCATTATTTTCCTCGTGTCATTCTTCATGATTCACATATGTTATTTTTTTGTATGTCCATGCACAGATTCAGACGTTTAAGGTTTACGATTTGAACCTACGCGATTATCAATCAGCATCCTACTGTCTGGGGAAGTTTATCAGTCTCCTGCCTCATCTTACAGACCTGGAGATTGGGTCATGTTCCTCTCATGATGATTTCTACAAAGAGATTGCTGATCGAGCTTCTTCATCTCAGGTAAAGTTTTTTATTTTTTTAAAGAAGCAGATAAAAAGAGATGGGGAAATATTTGATTTTTGTTTTAAAGCCTGAGATTGCGGGATAGGAATAGAAATCTTTTTCCATGAATGAGACTTTGTCACCAATGAGATGTTTCTAAAATTAAATGATGAATAATCAACTTCCTCTTGGAGGGAGTAATTGTGTCTGGATAAGTGCATTCCAACAGTATTTATATGCCTCCGTTACGAAGTAGCCGGAGACATTTTGTTTTCGGGTTGTCCGTCCGTTTGTACGTACGTCCCGTTCTTGTGATCACGTTATCTGAAAAACCGATTGATGGATTCCTGCCAAACTTTGGTCATGAATGTATCCTGCAGAGCCGATGATTTGATTAGATTTTGGGGTCACGAGGTCAAAGGTCAAAGGTCGCAGGGCTCATTATGTATGCAAAAACAGCTTGTGATCATGTTATCTCAAGAACTGATTAATGGATTCCTGCCAAACTTTGGTCATGTATGTATCTTGCAGATCGAGCCAATGAATTGATTAGATTTTGGGGTCACGAAAAAAGAACGTTGTTTTGAAAACTTTGGTTTTCATTTGATAAAGCTTGTGTTATTAAAATTTGA